GGATCTTTTGTTAGACTTTCATCAGGATCTTCTGTCTCTGTTGTTAGCCAGTGATGTAGGTGGATCATGGTTTGTTGATGTCTCATAACAATCTGCTCATGTCAGCTGTAGCTTCATAATAATATCTGCCTTCAAGGATGCTTCTAGTAAGATTTAAACACTGTCCTTCCAGACATGATGGCCCTGAAGCTCCACAACCCTGGATTAGCTGCACCACTTTGTTCATGGATCAGTGACTTCCTGCAGAAGATGAGGATAACCCACCTGCCTCCACCCCGTCCTTCTACAGAAGCACCATAGAGAGCGTTCTGACCAGCTGTCTCACTGTGTGGTGTGGAGGCTGCAGCTCATCAGACTGGAAGAAGGTGAGAAGAGTCATGAGAACAGCAGAGAGGATCATCAGGGCTCCTCTTCCCTCCATAAAAGACATTTCATCCCAACGCTGTGTGTCTCGAACCCGTAACATCATCAATGACCCCTCGCACCCCCACCATGAACTGTTCTCCCTGCTCTGGGAAGTGACTTTGCAGCATTCAATGCAGGTCCAACAGATTCTGCATCAGCTTTTTCCCCAGTGCCATCAGACAGCTGAACTGTAAAAACTCAAAATTAAGTCACAAATCGAGACTCTGCATCACAATGATAATATCAAACCAAATAGAACTCAACTCAAAATGTTTTTTCTACTGCTGTTTTGCACCATATATATTTGTTTGATTTTCCACTGCTCTGAACTTCCATATAAATAAATGTTTGCACCATGTTTTTATGCCCCACTCTACATTTGATCATGGCTGCACTTTTTGAAATGGAAACTGTTTGAAATTTCACTGCTAAGCTGCTGAAAAATTACTGTCTGAAAGCTATAAAAAAAACAAACTTTTACACTCTGTGTATACAAAATGACAATAAAGTTGTCGAAGTGTAAAGTCTGGCTTCCTCACCCAGTGGGATCTTCAACACTGGTACACCAGGTTATGTTCTCAACCCTGACCCCTTTACCCTCTTCACACAACACTGCTCAACCATCCAAACACAAGCATGTCTGTAAAGTTTATCAAAAACAAATTCAGTAAATTCTGGTGTTCTCATTGCTTTGTGCATATAATGTATGGTTACCCATCCCAACTTTAAGAATGTAGCTTCTGTAATGCTAAATTTAAACCAGCTTGCAGCTAAAAATTGTGAAGTTTTAGATCCTGGGCGTGATATTGAAGTGTCATAAGCATAATTAACGTATTAAGTCTTCATCAATGTTGCTTATATTGAAAGATGTCATCATTTGGTTTAAAGATTTGCCCAGAAAATGTTCTTATTTCTCCTAAATTGCAGTTTGTTGCTACTTTATTATTCCCAAATGTTGAATTTTCAGGTTGTTGTCCCTTGAATGTTATGCTAATTCAAACTGACCAAACTTTTTATCAAAAACCCAGTCTAATTTATAACATAGTAAAGCATCTTTAAGTCATCCTTTTTCTCTGTGTAGACACAGAGAGTCTATCTTTAACACCGCCATGGTGGGTCTCATATCGAGAGAAAATATTCATAATACGACACAATAGAGCTCCAGGGTCACCCTCATCCTGAACACCAACAAGACCCAGCAGGTCATAGTGAACTACATGAGGTCCAGGAGGACTGAAAATGTTTCTCTCTGCATACATGGAGGGGTGATAGAGCATGCAGACAGCATAAAGCTCCTGGGCATTCAGATCTCTGTTGGACTGACAACACCTTTCTCCTGGAAAAGAAAGCCCAGCAATGGCTCTTCTTTCTCAGAAGGATAAAACAAAGTGGACTTTCTACTTAGCTACTAACAAACTATGTAACACTCTAGAAGACCAAATGCGTGGCCACAGAACCCACCCATCCATGCTGTAGAAGCCAATGTGGACAAAGTTTGTATAAGACAGGAAATGATGCGTTTATGGGTGTGTGTTTCACCAGAAAAGGCAAATCGGTTTTGATTGCTTGACTGGGAAAACGCTGTCAGGATACAGACCATTTTGTATTATCATTGGTTTATAAGGAAACTGAACTAGAATAAATCAAGAGCTGTGTTTGGACATTCCCTCTTTACCATCGCACCCTGACAGAAATGTGTCAACCATAAGTTTGTTTGTCCCCACTACAACTGGGAAAATAATTTCACAACAATTAATCATAAAAACCATTTGTTTTCCTGAGCTACGAAAGCAATCCCCCCTGTAGACACTCAGTAGTCTATTTCATGACCAATATCTGTTCATATGTTGCTCTAGCACAGGGGTCACCAACCTTTTTAAGGCTGAGGGCTACTTCAAGGATGCTGGGTCACAAGAAGGGCTACTAATAACTGGAGGGATCAGCATTCAAACTTGATTTATAATAAACATATTTTTATTTTTTATTTTATTTCTAATTTCCTTTAAGGTATTGTCATTTTGAAATGTTTATAAATGCTTAAAGTCTCTATATATATGATTAAAAAAGAAGAGCAGCAAAATAAAATTAAGTTTCAAAGTGAGTTGTTCTTTTTTCAGAAGATGTTGAGGGCCCCCATGTGGTCCTGGAGGGCTCCTTGGTGCCCATTGGCACTGCGTTGGTGACCCCTGCTCTAGCACTAGCTTAACTTAATTACATCCTGCTACATCCCCATATGCATTTAATACCTCCTTTTAGGGAAGTTTCTCAGCTCTCAAGAGCTCGATTTTTCCACTTGACATGTTTCATAGTTTTTGTTTATGTGTGTTTTCCATCTCTTACTTTTTAAGGACTTCTTAAAGCCTTCATTCCTCTCCATCGTGTTTGAATTTTGTCTGCGTTATATTCAAGTATTTTCTGAGCCTGGTGTCTCTGCAAGTTCGTTATATGGATCCATGATGACCATTGTATATGCAGTGTCTCTCCCTCCAACTGGACGGTGTATTCATTGATATATTGCTATGGAAGAAACAAAACACTTAAAATATATAAAAATAAAAGCACCCTATTTCTCCAAAAACGTAAAAAAAATAAAATAAAAAAAAAACATTCCACTGGACTTCGTTTCCAAGTTTGAAAACGTTTCGCTTCCCATCCAGGAAGCTTTTTCAATTCAAAATGTCAGAAATAGTGTTGAGTTCAAGGCTTTATAGAGTCAACCAAAACAATGCCTTGTTTTTGCTTAGAAAGCATGCAAGTTGAACCCAAAGAATGGGTCTGCCCCTTAGGAATGGGGAGTCGTTGGGTCTAAGTCTCTGAAAGAGGGTCGTTAGAGGACCTGTTGCCCTGGCTGAACAAGCGAGATGTTCTGTTCCCCCCATGGGAGTCAGGGTGGTGATGATAGCGGGAAGGAATCAACTCTATCGCTGCATTGTAGTTTTTTTTTCCAGAGCTGAAGCTGAGTCCACACCCTCTGTTTAAGGTTGATTTTTTTTTCTTAACATAAATGGCTTCCTTCATACCCCTCTCAAACCAAATGTTCTTCTTTGTCCAAAATGTGAACATTCTGCTCCTCAAAAGAATGTCCTTGTCCATAAGATGTAGATGTACCGCCTAGTCTTGTCCAGAGGAGGTAGACTGGAGCATTCCTCACTGCACTGAACTGTGTTGCTCATTCAGAAGATTAAGAGTCCTGTATCTTCTAAATTAGATTTTGTTTTGTTTGCTGCGTTGTAAAAACAAAAATATGGGCAGTTCTAGACAGGGCCCAATGGGGGCCAGTGCCCCTTTAGATCATGTCCTGGACCCTGTACTGAAGAAATTCTAATGATGATATGCGCCAGAACGGACATGGTCACTGATAGGTCCATCCATCCATCCATTATCTGACACGCTTGTCCCAAATAGGGTCGCAAGGGGTGCTGGTGCCTATCTCCAGCTGTCAATGGGCGAGAGGTGGGGTACACCCTGGACAGGTCGCCAGTCCATCGCAGGGCAACACAGAGATAAATAGGACAAACAGCCATTCACGCATACAAAGGACAATTTAAAAAAGCCAATTAACCTAACAGTCATGTTTTTGGACTGTGGGAGGAAGCCGGAGTACCCAGAGAGAACCCACGCATGCTCAAGGAGAACATGCAAACTCCATGCAGAACCTTCTTGCTGCAAAGCAACATTGCTACCCACTGCGCCACTAAGCAGCCCCACTGAAAGGTTCTTTAGATCTATTTCATTTTTTCCCTTACAGATTCTGTTTTACTAATTATTTAAAAACAACAAGATGATAGCTTCAGCGGTATTAAGATAGGATCCCAATTTGAATCAGCTAAATGTGTTTTCGAAACAAATAAAAAAATAATTTTTACAGCTGAATTTATCAGTTTTTCTTGTGTTCTAATTCACATTCTATAGAAAATTGTAATTTAACTTAAATTAAGTCAAAAATATGTAAAATTCCTAAATTATGAATGTATATTGACCTAATAAGACATAGAATTTTTATTAAACCTAATTAAATAGAAATCTCACTTATTGCAGCTATCTTCATATATTTGAATCCCTTGCCCTGTTTTTTATTTCATGCTTTGCTGCCCCCATGAAAACAACTGGCCCCCTCCTAGCCCCTGGAACATTTGGTCTAGAACCGCCTCTGAATATGAGCGCATAATCAATGGCTGGGTAAGAAAATGGCAGAGTTTTTATAGAGTATATTTTAGATCATGTTTGTTTTTGTAAAGCAAAAAAATAGTAATAAAACAGATGCTGTTCAGATGCATGTGCACACGCACCAACCCACGCACAACTGCCCACTCCGAAGTTACTCAGGGGGAAAGCCCTGCAATTGATGTCTCCACGGGATGGCAGTATGAGTCTGAGTGTTTATTGGCTGTCTCTGATGTAAGGGCGTGTGTGTGTGTGTGTGTGTAGGTTTATGGTGGGGGGTTACGGCGTCAATCCACGTGTGCGTGAATCTGCGTGGGAGTTCCTAGTTTCGCTTTTCCGGGGTGTCGCCAGCTGCGCGGCGTTCTGCAGGGGTACAGCCCCCCCAGTGCCACCCCAACCTACAAACCCCCACCCACTCAGCCAGCCTGACCGCAGCAACACTGCTTTACAAGCAACCCCCGCCCCTTTAAAAAAAAAACACTTAGGATCCAAGCATGCCACCACAGCAGAGCTAGGTATCCGCCTCTCCTCCCCCAAAGTCACCGCAGGCGCAGCAGCAGCAGCAGCGGCAGCAGCAGCAGGCTTCCCCCGTCCCACGGAGCCTCCGCCGAGTGATGCCACTGCTGCAGCGGGAGGATCATCGCGCAGCCACCGCGTTTATTACCCTCGCCTGCCGGAGGACCAAACAGCACCATCGCGGCCTTTGACAGCAGCGGAGAAAGCCACCCCCCCACTCCCCTCTCCCGCCCCCCCTCTTTCGGCTCTTCTCCCATCCCGTCTCCAGGATGTCCGACAGCAGCGCCAGCCCCGCGGACCGGGTGATCAAATGTAGGCAGACCTCCTCTGCGCCTGTTTCTGCTCTGACTTGCTGTGTCTGTGTGTCCGTCTCCGTCCTGCCATTGCAGCTCTGCCTCTTATTACTTTATTCTGAATGGAGCTTATTATTATTTTTTCCATCATAGCTGCACGAAATAAAATGTGCATAATTGGTTGTCGAGTCACCATGCATGCCTCTTTTAGGGGAGGGAGGGGTATCCGGCACTATACGCCATAATCAGGGTCTTCCCTCGTTATTCTATTAGAATTCACCCCCTCACAGAGGCATTACCCCATTTTCTAACAGAGGGGGTGGGGGGGATGTCTCCTCCTCTCTGCATATAGCCGAGGCAATTGCGCGACATCCTGCGTTGCTGCAAGAGCTGCATGCGCTCCTCTCCTAGCGGTGGTTTGGTGTTACTGAATCATACCCGTTAGATAGAGAGAGAGAGAGGGAGGGAGAGAAGCGGGGAAATCACTGACTGAGAGAGGGGACACGACGAGCGTCTGGTTCCAATGAAAGCCCAAACAGCGTGACGATGACGGCCAAAGGCAGACATAAAGGTAAATGAAACGGGCAGAGCGCGCGCTGCGGTGCTGATGCTGAGGATGCGGATGGTGTCACGGGATGATGCTGCAAGTATGCAACGATGCTCGGGATGCTGAGGAGGAGAGAAGAGTGGGTGGAGGGTGAGGGGTGATTTGCAAAGAGCTGTCATTGTGTCAGTAAAGAGGGGTTTTTCCTCTATTCTCTATTTTTTTTAGACTCGATGATGGTGATCTACCTGTTTTCTGATGGGCAGATGTGTTGACCTACATTTGCAGTTGCTTTTAAATCCTGTCGGAGCCACGAGTCCGATGATCGATGTGTTTGGATCGCTGGTATATGTCGCTAACTTTGCCAGGCCTCATCCCTGACTTAGCTTTTATAATCTAAGCAAACCCCTGTTTACAAAGAACTGACCCTGACAGGCGCTCCGATGGCTTCAGGGGCCAATCAGGATGCTCGCCTGAAAGTCATTTTTATTTTTTCATTTTTTTATGTCGTTTTCAGAATGACCCCCAAAGTGTTTGCTTCATTCTCTCCTGCGCGCCCCCCTCAACAACCCCCCCCCACCCTACCAATTCTCCTCACATCCTTCTGTTTTCCAGATTTCCAAATGACAGACAAAATGGAGTTTAGGGATGCTGCTTCTCTGCTGCGCTTATGTGGGTCTGCTGCCGCTCTAATGGTGTGAAAGCACCGCTGGATTAAGGAATATTTAATGTGTCGCCTTTTTGCTTTTAAGCGTGGGCTGAACGTGGAGAGGAGGGGAGGCAAAGGGGTGAGGAGGGAGGTTGCATTATCGGGTCAAAACGGTGACTTCCTCCGTTCCTCTCTGCCTGAAATAAAAAGAAAAAATGGAGCAGGTGGTGTATACGTCGCTTGGGCATGCCCCGGTATTCCGTGCGTGCGCCGTGCGTGAAATGGGAGTGGCGCGTAGGCTATGCGTGGGGAGCTCTTGCAATTTTGCCTATTCCTTATGCTTAGAAACATTCATGCAGCAAGACTGCATCCATTAACTGTGTGTCGACTTGTGATAATGACTTGTGGACCCCTGCGGCTTTAGATGTCAACACCTTAAATTGGCACATATCACCCTATGCATCCACAGAGCGTTTGTGAATGATGTTCACAACCAACCCACCATTGTTTCAGAGGAGAAATTGATTTGGAGCCCATTTTTACCTTGACATTTTTATATAGAGATGTGGGGAGTAAAATAAATATGATCTAGTTTTGATGGTGCACTTAATTTTTCAGATTTTTGACGCCCCAGTTGAACATTTAGTAAGGCACCCACATGTGTCAGAATATATGCTGATGTCGAGGTGGATAATGAGCCTTAAGTTCATTATCCGATAATGTGGCTGCACAAAGAAATCCCAGTGAAAGTCGAAACTCTTTACAGCTTCTGCAAGTTAAGCTGAAATATCATAGATTTTTTTACTCATCGTTTTCCTCATTGTTCCCTGTCAGAGCTCTGACCTGAGGGGACAATTTGACCACAAGTATAGTTTGGTGAGTAGTTTTCCATGAGGAAGGGAGAGTTTTTGGAGGAAGGGCCAAGTTTAATGGTGCGTTCACACTGGCTGATCCATTAGCAATGAATTAAGGTGTGACAAATGTGCTTTGAGCTAAAATATGTACACTTCGAGTCAAATCGAGGGACATTACTCAGAAAGAAGTCATATTCTAGTTGACGGGCTGTGTAGTCCTGGACTGTAGAGAAATAGAATCATATAATGGACTTTGGTGTTGGAAGTGTTGGGGAAAGAGAAAATATGACCATGTCATATGAGATGAAACCTTGAAAGAAAAAAGGGAGGTATTAATGATACATTTTCCTCAAGCTCCAGGGTTATTTGAGGGGTACCGCAGGGACAATTACAAGGGGATATTTCTCTTTACTATATGCTCCTAATTGGAAGGATTATCAGACAGCATGGGATTAAGTTCTACTGTTATGCAGATGATACTCAGCTATTTTTTACCATAAATTCTGATGAAACGAACTTACATAAACTACAGACATGTCTTGAAGATATAAAAACCTGAATGATTCTACGCTTTCTTCTCTCGATTACAGATAAAACAGAGGTTATGATCTTTGGATAAGAGTCTTTAAAAGAAAAACAGATATGTGAGTCACTGGGATCTGATTGAATCATCTCTGTAAAGTTCCAGGAGATGACATGTTGTGAATAGGTGCTATATAAATAAACTGAATTAAAATGAATTTAAAGTTTGTTTAGACTCACCTGTTGGTGTAAGGCTGAGCTGGTCCAAGATTATTTGAGGCCCAGAGCAGATGTTGACCCCAAATCTCATTCATGCTTTTCATTGACGAAACAGCTGTTAATAAATTGGAGTTCATTTCTCAGACTAGCTTATTTGCTCTTGAGGTCATAGAGCATTTCAATGCAAATCTATTGAGCTGCAGAGGTTATTTCATAATTTTTTATGAATTAGCTCACAGTTTCAAAGAATAACCTCAGTTTATTAAATATACTTTCATTTAAACCTGAAATTATTTATTTTTACTGATGTAATTACTTCTAAGAATTTATGCTCTTAAGCCTTGTTTTTGCTCAGAAACCAGGTCGTCTGCGTGTGTCTCGCAGTTAACACAGATATGCCCCTCCCCCTCCCCCAGACACTCTTGCGCACCTCCCCAAAATTGTAGGTGACCGCAGAAAGTGCCGCAAATACCATGGCAGGGAGGAGAGAAAGAAGGCCTCTGATTGGTCAATTCTACATCCGCTCTACACTACACATATTTCCTGTTGGGTACCTTACCGGGCTTGTTTTGTTTGTATGACCGCCATTGTGGAAAAGACTCGTGGAGATGGACCAGCTAGAAGAGCGAGTCTGTGAAGAAGTGAGGAGGTACCCAAATCTAGATTGATCAGCTGCATCTCAGTTAAAGTGCGCATTGGTCCAGTCGCCATTGTACTTTAAAGACCTCCGTAACCGAAAGAGAAACACGCCATCCACCACACCCACAATCCTAGCTTGTTCGTAATTGTCCCACTTTTGTTGTGGCATGGAATAACGTAGTACGGACCGCACTTTAAAATCGGGCATAAATCAAAAATATCTGTGTCATACCTGTGACCAGATCACTGCGGGAGTATACAGAGCCCTTTCTTGGTGCTTTGAATGTCCAAGACAGCCTGCCCTGGTGTCAGATTTAGATCCACCGATCTATTAACCTTACATCCAACAAATTTAACAAACCTGTAATGCCATATAGGAAGATTCTTACAGCAAACAAACCTTTAGTAAATTCAGTTCAGTTTGCGTTATTTATATAGCGCCAATTCACAACAAGCTTTATCACAAGGAACTTTACAGAGTCAATTAAATGTTTTCTTTCAAAGGAAACCAAGCTGATTGCATCCAGTCATTGACTTTGCAGGACTTTTTCCCTCTTGGGTCAGCATATGGCAACAGTATATTCACTTGCATTGTGTCGTTGTCTGCAGAAAAACCCCTACACCAAGTATACATGCAGCGACAGTGCCAACACCCTTTTAACTGTAAGAAACCAATTATCTGAAACCAATTTAATGCAATCCACATAAAGCGACTAAAGGATCAGCCTCTTAAGGGCTGTGGTCCAAAGACTATAACTTCTCTTTTGTCAACATTCAAAGATTTTAAAAGATTAAATGCCTTAAAATTAAACTCCTCCAGATTTGTATGTTATCGATCTTTCTCTTTAGGAATTATGCACAAATACAGCTGAATGTCATCAGCATAACGTTTGACATTGATCGCATGGTGTTGCATTGTGTCTGATAACAAAGTACATAATGAAGTAAAACCCCTCAATCAGTAAGCTTTTTCTTGATTTGTGTATTATGACATAATTACCTATAGTATTGGGTCTGTCACAGATCTACATGTATTTTAAATGGGCTACCAAAATACTGGACACCCTGGTAAACTAACCATCTTTGTCTTTCTCTGGCAAAACTCTCCTATTCAATGGTTCTGGTGTAGACCAATATAAGCACTTTAAAAGAGTCAAATTTAACTCCGAAGATTTGACAGAAAATTTGCTGTGTAGTGATTGGTTGGTGGAATATTTGCATGGATTTTCAAATACGTTCTGCTCCAAATTCATACATTTTGTAGATTTTTAGGAACATCATAGAATATAGGATGTACTTTTAGGTGAGTTCTTTGAGGTTAAGAAGAAAAAATAATTTCGGGTACTTCTGTGTAACATTTCATCCTATTCTCTCCTACTCTTATTTCTTAGCTGTGTTTATCTGTGTATTTGTCCAATGTTGGTGTTATCCTTTTGGGCTGGGGGTCCCACCATGACAGGTCCCTCTCTGACCTGTGGGGAGGGTGGCAGGGCAGGGTCTATTTATAGAGAAGGTACTCCAGAGAGAGAGAGAGAAAGGGATTGTCTAATGAGGACAGACTGTCCAGGGATGGGCTGTTGTTTCTGTTTTAG